TTTTTTTTTTTTTTTTTTTGAGACAGTCTAACTATCACCCTTGGTAGAGTGTTGTGGCTTCCTCAAATTCCTGGGCTTAAGCAATTCTCTTGCCTCAGTCTCCTGAGTAGCTGGCACTACAGGTGCCCAACCCTACACCCAGCAGTTTTAGGGACAAGGGCTCCCTCTGGCTTAGGCTGGTCTCAGCTGGTGAGCTTAAGCAATCCACCTGCCTTGGCCTCCCAGAGTGCTAGGATTACAGGTATGAGCCGCACAAATGTAATTTTTAGCTTAAGGCCACATTCTAGAGAAACCTATGGATCCTGTCATGACACATATGAAAGGAACTTGGATGCTGAGAGGCAGTGCATAGTCCCCTGTACGTGGTCACAGGCAGTACCCTCAGAATTTGGCCCTGGTATGGGAGACTTGAGGAATCTGGTTATCACTGCCATTATCCTGGGGTAACAAATGGCCCCTGGGTATTGGGGGCCCTTTTCTAGGTTAAGTTCAGTGTGGCAGACTTCCTATCTCCCTGTCCCCACCAGGATGCCAAGGATGGACGCTTGTTCAACGAGCAGAACTTCTTCCAGCGGGCTGCCAAGCCTCTACAAGGTATCACACAGGGACATGGGCCAGGGGAGTCACCCACTTTGGTCATGGCTGGGTTCTCCTTGCAGGTGTAGCGATGGTAGGGGACAAAAGCCCTGATTTGCATCCTATCTGTGCCCACAGTCTCACTCCAGTTACCCTTTGGGCCTCAGAGGAAAGATGACATGTGCTGGGGCTGGGTCTTACCAACTCTGCAGAGTCAAGTGTTAAATTTTCGAGAATTAAGGAATACTGTAAACTGGTTGTTACGTACAGGCAGTATTTAAAATTAAATTATATAAACTTACAACCAAACTATATTCAAAACAAAGGTATTAAACCCCAGAAACTCACCATTCCTAATTATTTCTCTACATTTTCTATTATCAGTACTCCAGAGGTTATTTGAATGTATTGCCCTTGCCTGGACAAAATACTATGTAATAGCGTCTGTTGTGTGTCTCTCCCAGCTTCTCACACGGTCATGTCACATGAGTGGTTTGAAGTTGGCCATGGTAGGAAATATTTACAGCACAGAGATTGCAAATGCTGCCAATCGGGACTCTTCCCTGAGTAGCATTGGTCCCTTTCCACCCACTGAGATCTGGGAGACAGACAGAGGCACATTCTAGTGACAGGGTAGCCACTTCAAACATTGATAGATCTCACGAGCTTTACATGTGAATTTAGAAGTTACTCTGTCACTCTTAGCCCTCTTGCTCACTCCAGATTTATATATGCTCCCACAGAAGTCACCTGTGTTCACCCCTGTCACCTGCACACATGGATCACAGACACTCTTGGGTCACTTACATCTACCCTCTTAACAGTTCTGTCCTTATCAGTCCTATCACCTACCTACGAAGATGTTGTCTCCTATAAGGAGACCCAGGGTCTGCTCTGGGGACTCTTGCCCTGTGATCTGAGAATGAGCTCTTGTTGCCGTGGGCCTGGAGCCAGGTGGTCTCTGACCTCAAGCCCCTGCCTCCTACAGTGAGCAAGTGGAAGAAGCTCCACTCAACCCCCCTATTGGCCATCCCCACCTGCATTGGCTTTGGTGTTCACCAGGACAAGTACAGGTAAGCTGCCTTACCTGCTGCCCCCTCAGCGGCTCCTTTCTTTCCCTGTCTTGTGCCTAGGCATGGTTGATATCCTGGGGTCCGTGGCCAGTGAGTTGCTTCTTACCTCCATTTTTGAACCAAGCTGGTACCCAACCAGTCAGAACCCTTAATCTCATCTGGGATCAGGACCTTGCAACTCTACCACCATCCTCCATTCTTGGTGGACTATTCCCCTTTCCCGTTCATTCCAACCTCCTGGGATGCTCATGTCTTCAGGTTCTTGGTGTTCCCCAGCCTGGGGAGGAGCCTTCAGTCAGCCCTGGATGACAACCCAAAGCATGTGATGTCAGAGAGGTCTGTGCTCCAGGTGGCTTGCCGGTTGGTATGTACCTAAAAGATATCAGCCCCCACATGTGGGGGCACATGAGATCCTAGTTTATCAGGCAGCTTATTCATTGTCATCTAGCCCCCACCTCCCTTCGCTGAACACTGGGGGCTGGACGCTGGCTGGCACAGACATTTAGGACCAGGATGCTGAGCATTACCGTGGAGGGCTCTCAGGGGCCATGGGCATGGAGGAAGGGGCCCCAGCCTCAAATTGAAGACTTAGGTTGTGCTTCCTAGGGGAGGTTGTTTGCAAGCTGACGCTTGTGAGACAAGTGGAAAACAGCAATGTACTAAGTTGAGTAGGTGTGGGGACAGGTGAGGAAAGAATATTTCAAGCCAAGGATACAGGTGACAGAAAGGCTTTTAAGGGAGAAAGAGTATAAGGCATTTGTTCATTTGTTTAATCATTCACCCTCCCATTAAGTATTATCAAGTTCCTGCTGGTTAGCACACTCTCCCAGGGGCTGGGAATAGAGCAGGGAGCAGCACAGATGTGGTTTTTGTGTCTTGAAGCTCACAGCCTAGTGAGAGAGGACACTAGTAAATAAAACAGTTGCATAGATTGTGACAGGGATTCACAATAGAAATGTCCTCCTGCTCTGATGGAGAATAAGAGGACTTAGTTTAAATTGCTGAAGGGATAGATGTATCATGGGCATGGCATGTTAGATTAGTCTTAGAGGTCTTTATGTTCAGAGCATCTGCTGCATGGCATGGGGTGGAGAGGGGGTATGAGATGAAGTTAGTGTAGAGAGGTAAGCATCACCCATGTCACACAGGGCCTCATACATCTCTGTCCTGAGGGTACAGGGAAGCTACAGAAAGGTAGAAGAGGAGGGACAGGGTCAGCTCTGGGACAGAAAGACTTAAGAGCCCATGTGGGGATGGACTGAAGGTAGGGAGACTGTAAGCTGAGGTTTCTCATGGGAGCGGGTAAGACCTGAAGAGGGTTCCACACCATGAGGATGGAGTTTCTAGAAGTAAAACAAGAAGAACTTGGTGAACAGTAAAGCCCTGAGGTTAGGGAAGGTCTTTGGTATATAACCAGGATGTAGTTCACACCCTATAGTTAGTATAGGAGTATGGTACTCAGTAGAAAAATTGGAGCTGGAAATAAAGATATAAATTGTTTAGCTAGATTTATTTCTACTTTCTAGTAGAAATGAAAAGAATTCTTTGATGTACGTGGGTGCTCGGTAATTTTTGCAGAAGGGCATTCTTCCTCTCCTGAGTTTGCAGTCAGCTAAGAGATAGATGGAAAGCCATGTGTGAGTTTGACTGCTTAATATTCTCAGAGCCTAATTAGAGGTATGCTTAGGTGGTGTCACAGAGGGCTTCCTAATGCCACAATCAGAATCAATCAGGCTTAATCTCCCAGTCACAGAGCATGCTGACAACCCCAGGGGTTCCCTCACCCAGCCCTACATCAGAGCCTCTTTGTGTTAGTCATACTACTGGTGGAGATGCTTGCTTTCTTCTTCCCCTAGCTGGATGCCCTAGAGTTCCTCCATGAGAATGAGTATGTTCATGGCAATGTGACAGCTGAGAATATCTTTGTGAATCCAGAGGATCTGAGTCAGGTAAGAGCAAGCCATGTCCTGTCTGCTCTGGAATGTCGTACCTGTTTATTTCATAGTGCTTATTGCAGACAAAGGATTGCTGTGTATCATATATATAAAGACTTCCTTCAGGCCCGGCGCCTTGACTCAGGCCCGTAATCTTAGTACTCTGGGTGGCCTAGGAGGGTGGATTGCCTGAGCTCAGGAGTTCGAGACCAGCCTGAGCTAAAGCAAAATTTCATCTCTAAAATTAGCTGGGCGTTGTTGCAGGTGCCTGTAGTCCCAGCTATTTGGGAGGCTAAGGCAAAAGGATCACTTG